GGGAAGTGTTTCCCAGTGCAAAATAAAGACAGTATGTACCAGGATGGTTGAGTCAGTGTGGTGTAGTGGTCTGAGCATTGGGCTACGACTCAAACCACTACACCATGTTGACCGTGCAAATATAAGTATAAATACCTGTACAGTGCTGTATGAGAGCACCACCACCACCACCACCACAAATAATTTCTACAATATACAGTACACAGACTGTACAAAAAGATGGTCCTTTGCATGACGCTTTTGCAACCACGACCTGCTTTTGTTTGAAGAAGTCATTTGTGGTGTCCTTGTGTGTTTGTAAAGCAGCACTGGGCAGGTATTCATATATTTGTGCCTATATTTACCAAAAGAGCAGACCATGCTTCAAATAAGTGGGTTCTGGCAATAATGTAATAGTGTCAAGAGAGTGGATTGTTGATAAGTAATTGGTCGAAAAGCAGGGGGACCCTGGAATATAATAAATAAATTGCAAATGGACAAACAAGTAAAAAAACAAAAAGACACATGAGTGCTGTTGGGTCTTGGGTTTTTTTTTTTTTTTTATCCTTTCAAACAAAATAAGGAAAAGTCTCTTCCAGATCTGTTTGTCTTGGTCCCCAGATTAAGGAATTAAGGATCAACTAAACTCTTCTCAAGTATTTAAGAAACGAACCATCTGTGGGAGAATCTAGGACAGATTACACTTAACCTGATTTCTAAGGCAAAACATTAAGATGAGAACGGCTACTGGAATTAAGGCGTTGCAGATGCTGCTGACTCAATATGTATTTGGAAAGAACTCACCCCCCTTTTTCCCCTCAAAAGAAGGAAATGTGTTTGTGTGGGAAGCTGACAAGAAAAAGAAAAGCGATTCTTCTGAAATGTGGTGCTGGAGGAGAGTTTTGTGGACAACCTGAAAGATAAATAAATGGGTCTGGAGCAAATCAAACCTGTATTCTCACTTCGAGTCAGAATAAGTAGACTAAAGCTATTGTATTTTAGGTATGGTACATTGTTAGAAAACATAGATCCAGCATTATGTAGTGGTTGAAGTGTTGGACTATGATTCTGGAGATCAGGGTTTGATTCCCCACTCAGCGATGGAAACTCACTGAGTAACCTGCTATTGGTCATGCTGACTGGGACATCTGGGGGATGAGGTCCAAAACATCTGGAGAACCAAAATTTGAGAACCGTTTTTTCAACTCTACCAGTCCCAGAGAGTCTCAGCAACCACTTGTTTTATTGTTGTATGTTTTCAAGTCATTTCTGACTTATGGAGACCCTAAGGTGAACCTATCATGGGGTTTTCTTGGTACGAACTGTTGAGATGTTTCTCATTGCCTTCCCCTGAGGCTGAGAGCATGTGACTTGCCCAAGGTCAGCCGGTGGGTTTCATGGTCGAGCTGGGAATCAGACCTTGGGCTCCTGAGTTGTAGTCCAACACTCAAACCAGTACGCCATGCTGACTCCTAAGCAACCACTATCCTTGCTTGATCTCTCCAGATGACTGAGCCATCCAGACACCCCTCTTTGTAGGAGCTTCATTGTGTTAGACAGATAGTTATTGATCTGACCATCGTTCATCTCTACTGCTTAATTTCAATAAATGGCCACACTGGAGAATTAGCAAGGGAGTCTTTCTGCCTCCACCAGACCCTCTTTGGGTCTCTTTGGAGACCTGTCAGAAACATGATTTATATATGTACTATGATAAGATACCTATCTGCTCTTTGGGCAATTTAGTTGGGGAGTACGGAAAGACAATGTTTGCGTATATAAATGTAGGCATCAGCTGAGGTTAACATCTGTGTGGCATAAATCTCCCCACGTGGTACTTATACCTTGATTGTGCGATGCAGCCCTTGTGTTGAACGGCAATCTTGTGCAAATGAACTAAGCCAGCAAACATAGAACCGAATGTGCGCCAACAGGATCCTAACCTAGGTTCCTGTGTACAATTTGTTTCTCAATGAATTCTAGCACATTGACCAGTGTCGTTGTAAAAGCTTGAATAATGTTCAAAGCATTTGTGGAAAAAAATATAGTCTCTGCCAGGAATTCAGTATGATGGCAGCTTCCATTATAGACTGCTGCTGCTGCTCCTGGGAAAAAAAGAACTTTAGAAGGATCCATCTTGTCCCTCTATTTGCAGCAAGGACAGGCTGCCAAGTACAGCTGGCCCTCCTCATTTGTGGCTTTGACTTTTGCGGATTTGATTATTTGGGGTTTTGATTATAACAGTCACTCTAGGAATCTCTAAGTCCTCCAGCGCAATTCTGCTGGAAGTTGACATAGAGTTGTGCTGGAGAACATAGAAGTTCCTAGAGAAAATACTTCTCTAGACATTTGATCGTAGAATCATGCTGGAGGACCAACAAATGTCTTCTCCAGTAATCTCTAGGTCCTTAGAGTAACTCTAAGGTCAACCTCTGGCAGATGTTGACCTCCGAGTTGCACTGGAGGACCTGGAGATTCCTAGAGAGGCATTCTCTTAGGTAAAAAGAATGGTGTTGTCCTTTTATTTGCATTTTTCACACATTCATGGGGGTCCTTCATCCCCTAACCCTAACAAATATGGAGGGACCACTGTAGACTCATTTCTCGAAAGGAAACAGCAAACATTGTGTTACTCAAGGTGCTTCTTAGCCATGCTCAAAATAGAGGACATTCTAGAATTCTTCCTGGGTAGAAGATTGAAATGTAGGACATGCCCTGGAAAAGGAGGACATGGGGTCCCCTTGTCTCAGTCCCAACAACATCAAACGTACTTTGGGAGCAAGCATGGAAAGTAGTGTTCCCAATGGCTTCTCCCAAGTTGTGAAAGTCGGTTCCTTCCCTGCTGTCTTTTCAGTGGCAGGCAAAGACCTTTTTATTTTGGAAGAGCTTTTATGATTAGTTGCAGCAGATGGAGCTTTTTAAATGGGGGAGGTTGTTGTGTCTGTATTTGAATTTGTTTTAAACATTTTTTTTTTTAAAAAAAAACCTGTTTCTAACCTGTGGCTTTTGAAAACAGAATTGTGGTTTAATTTGCTTTTAACGTTTGCATTCATAGTTGTAAGCTGCCTTGAATCTTGTGCAGGCAGAAAAACAGGATATTAATGAATTAATTGATTAAGTAATTGATTCATTACTTTTCTTCTAGAAGAGAAAACATCTCATAGGGCTGCAGCTTCAGTACTAATCTGGAATAGTCCTACTGAGTAAAGCATGTATTAAGTCACACCATAGTTGTTCTGGGGGGCTTGTTTTCCACCTTTTAGGGGTATAAAAAGGCATACACAAGGTACACTGGGTGCATCTACACTGTAGAAATAATGCACTTTGACACTACTTTAAGTGCTGTAGCTCCATCCTATAGAATCCTGGAATTTGTGATTTTACCAGCCTTTTCTGACAAAGAGTATGGGTGCCTCACAAAACTACAGACCCCAGGGCTCTGTAAAATTGAGCCATGGCAGTGATTTTTGCATTATTTCTACACTGTAGATGCACCCTTCATCTCTAGATTGTAAAGGAGCCGTCCAAGTTCCTGAACCATAGTTCAGGACCTTGGATAGCTCACTCCAGGGTTGCACTAGTTTGGATAGTGCATTAAAAACTTTGGATAGCTCACTGAAAGGTTGGACTAAATCCAGGAGGGATTCACTGCCCTCATAGAATCATAGAGCTGGAAGAGACCCCAAGGGTCATCCAGGCCAACCCCCTGCCATGCAGGAACTCTCAATCAAAACATCCCCAACAGATGGCTATCCAGCCTCTGCTTAAAGACCTCCAAGGAAGGAGACTCCACCACTCTCCAAGGCAGTATCTTCCACTGTCGAACAGCTCTTACTGTCAGGAAGTTCCTCCTAATGTTGAGGTGGAATCTCTTTTCCTGCAGCTTGCATCCATTCTTCAGTATATTATTTTCTGGAGCAGCAGAAAACAAGCTTACTCCATCTTCAATATGACACCCCTTCAAATACTTATACAGGGCTATCATATAACCTCTTAACCATCTCTTCTCCAGGCTAAATATACCCAGTTCCCTAAGTCTCTCCTCATAGAGCTTTATGGTTTCCAGACCCTTCACTATTTTAGTCACCATCCTTTGGAAACACTCCAGCTTCTCCACATCCTTTCTGAATGGTGGTGCCTAGAACTGGACACAGTATTCCAGATGAGGCCTGGCCAAAGCAGAATACAGTGGCACTATTACTTCCCTTGATCTAGACACTATACTTCTGTTGATGCATCCTAGAATCACATTGGCCTCATGCCATGGAATCCACTGGCCATCCCTTCAATGGATAGCTATGTATTCTACTTTACAAAGGACAGTCCTCTGATTAAAGGTGTTACCTATTTTAGCTTTGCCGAGCAAGGTGTTCTCCAGGTGTGTTGGATCAGTACAATGGCTATGTCTTCTGATGGTGGAAGTTGTCATGGAACACATTTGGAAGGCACTGGGTTGAAGAAGACTGTTCTATTTAAAGAAATGTCCTCTTGAAAGATAAATGGTGTATTTATACTACACAGTTACATCAGTTTCATATTCCTTCAGCAATAATCATCATCACCATCATCATCATCATCTTCTTCTTCTTTAATGCATTTATATCCCACCTTTCACCCAATAATGGAACAAGACAGCTTACAATATATTTCTGCTGTAAGCCGCCCCGATTGTTTGACAGAGGGGCGGGCTATAAATAAAATTTATTAGTATTTATTATTATTATATTTCAATATAATATGTATTTAAAATTATACAAAAACTTCAATAAAAGTATAAATAGAAATATTATGTAAAAAAATAATTAACCAATCTAGAAAGTTAACAAATAAACACTGAGGACATTAGAATTTATTATAAGATTATTTGTTGTCGTTGTGTGCCTTCGTGTTTTTTCCAGCTTATGGTGACCCTATCGTGGGTTGTTTTTTTTCATGGCAAGATTTGTTCAGAGGAGTTTTGCCATTGCCTTCCCCTGAGGCTGAGAGTGTGTGACTTGCCCAAGGTCATCCAGTGGGTTTCCTGGCCAAGCAGGAAATTGAACCCTGGTTTCTAGAGTCATAGTCCAACACTCAAACCACTATGCCACATTGACTGCCCATAAAAACTCATCTCATTCAGTTTCTAAAAGTCTGATGGCACAAAAAAGTTTTAATTTTCTAGGAAAGGGAGAGCAATAAGGGAGGCATTGAGGCTTCCTTGGGGGGAGTTCCAAAGTCTGGGAGCAGCCACCAAGAAGACCTTCTGTCTTGTTCATAATAAACAAGGCTAGGAAGGTGGTGGGACAGACAAAATAATCTCTCCAGATTATTTTAGAGTTCTCAAGGGGTCTTAAATAATAATGATAATGATAATAATAATAATAATAATAATAATTTATTTTTATCCCGCCTCTCTGCAACACAATCAGGGCGGCTTGCAGCATTAAAACTACAATAAAAAATACGATACAAATCCCAAAAACCCATTGCAATCCATCAAATAGCCTGGACCCAAACCATATAGGTCATTGCCAATACTTTGAATTGTGCCTAGAAATGGACTGGCAACTAGTGGAGTTGTTGCAACAAGGCAGATGCATGCTTCCTGCAGCCAGTGCTTCAAAGGCTGGACTAGGATTCTGGAGGAACAGGGTTCATATCCCTGCTTAGCCATGTAAACCCACTTGGCGACTTTGGGTAAGTCCCACTCTCTCCTTTCCTAAGATGACAATGGTGACCGTGATAACAAACCGCTGAATTAAATCTTGCCAAGAAACCCCTTGTGGTAGGTTCACCTTAGTGTTGCCATAAGTCAGAAAGAACGTAAAGAGACACAGCAGCAGCAACAGGACACTTAACACAACTCTGTCCTGTGCAATTTGGACAAGATGCACACTTTTCTCCATCAAGACATTGCCTAGATCTACACTGCATAATTAATCCAATTTGATCCTGCTTTAAACTGCTATGGCTCCATGTTATGGAATTCAGGGATTAGTAGTTTTGTGAGCCATTCAGCCTTCTCTGTCAGAGAGCTCTGGTGCCACAACAAATGACACATCCCAGGATGGAGCCATGATGGTTAAAGTGGTGTCAAACTCCATTAATTCTGCAGTGTGGCAACAGCCAGAGTTTTGATTTCCAAACTCTGTGTGTTTCCCCTACAAACACATACAAATGACCTGAATTGTGGAGCACTAAAAATGTGCCAAAACTCCATTAATGGCTCTTTGTATGGAAAGAAAAAAGTTCTGAAATTGTTTATTCTTGCATGCAATCACAAAGGTAAAAAAGCAAATATTTGGCATTCCATTCCATGGACAAAGAAGGGTGAGGCAGGACTTTGATGACTTTCTAGACCTATGAAGAGCTTTTGCAGAATCAGCACCTGGGATGATTTCTTTAGCTTTTGATTTACAGCTCGCGCTCTCCTCTGCAAAATAGCCGGCAGAGAGGTTAGATCCAAGAGCTCCATCAGCACGCCAAATTAAAAACTGTTAGTGATTTTCACACGCACAACACACACACATACACTTTTCCTTCTAACAGCATCCTTCTTTTAAACCAGCGGACCGAAGCGGAAAGAAGGCACACCTTGTGGGTAACAAAAAGGGAGAATCGAGAGCAAATTATTTTCCCGATTAAGAGTCCCCCCCCTTTTTTTTGGTGGCACCGAGATATTGCCCATTTTTCACAGCAGACAAAAACATTTTCCAAGGGATCAATTTGAGCGTTGCCCAGTCGGCTCTTTTCAAGCCATAATCCATCATATTTCCCCTTTTGCAATCTGGAGGTGTCCAAGTGTTTTAAGGTGCCGATGAATTATTTGCTCACAAGCGGGCAGACTTTTTTCCTCCCTGCCGAAATGAGGACGTCGCTGGCCTGCCCCATTGGGTCAGGGACCATTAGACGGCATTGCCGAAGAGGCCTCCTGCTCAGGCTTCGGTATTGGCAGGCCTGTTAGCCTGCTCATCTGTCAAAGAGATCTGGCCATCAATCACTGGTCGGGTGATCAATATGCAACTGACGTATTCATCATTCCTTTGGGGAGACTCTGAGAATGAAGTTGTCAGTGGTGCAGGGACAAAGGAGGAGAAGTAAAGAGAGAGACACACTCATGCACGTGTGTGTCTATGTTGGTTGTTGTGTGCCTTCGAGTCATTTCTGACTTACTGTCTTAAACTGTATGCCTCCAGATGTTGGGGACTTTGCCCCAGACTTTCTGCTATTGGCCATGATGACTGGGACATCTGGGGGCTGAAGTCCAAAACACCAAAAATTGGGAACCACTGCTTTACCTGACCAGCCCCAGAGAATCTCAGCAACCGCTTGTTTTATTGTCATGTGCCTTCAAGTCATTTCCAACTTATGGTCTTAAACTTTACGCCTCCAGATGTTGGGGACTTTACCCCAGACTTTCTGGTATTGATCATGCTGACTAGGACATCTGGGAGCTGAAATCCAAAACACCAAAATTTGGGGACCACTGCTCTACCCTACCAGCCCCAGAGAGTCTCAGCAACCGCTTGTTTTATTGTCATGTGCCTTCAAGTCATTTCCAACTTACGGTCTTAAACTCTATGCCTCCAGATGTTGGGGACTTTACCACAGACTTTCTGCTATTGGTACATCTGGAGGCTGAAGTCCAAAACACCTGGAGAACCAAAATTTGGGAACCACTGCTCTACCTGACCAGCCCCAGAGAGTCTCAGCAACTGCTTCTTTTATTGTCGTGTGCCTTCAAGTCATTTCAGACTTATGCCAACTCCAAGGTGAATCTATCATGGGGTTTCCCTGGCAAGATTTGTTCAGAAGAGGTTTGCTATTGCATACCTCCTCCATGAAGAGCAAATCCCAGTTTCCTAGGATAAAATTGGGACAGTTAAACTGGAACCGTAGTGCTATAATTATGTAGTATGAAAGGGCTCCGGTTCCATCCTATGCAATCCTGGGATTTG